ACTTGACGCCTAGGAAACAAGTAGCATTTTGCTGTCCTGGGGCGCTGCTGAAGCCCAGGCTCAGACTTAGGTTGGGGCTGAGGTGGCACCGGTTTGGCAGGCTGCTGAGCAACTTGTAACAGCCGCCGTACTGGAGCACTTTGGCAGGAAGTGAAGCATTGCCTGCGATGACTTCTGTGTCACTGTAAACCAGTCGGCAAACCCTTCCACGGCAGGGCCAAACAGTCCTTTGGGAGAGACTGGCAAGTCTAGGAAGGCGACATTGTCAGCATCCCTGATCTCGGTTAGAATCAGCCAAAGGTGGCGCTCCAGCACCACCAAGTTGGCCATGGCCTTGCCAATCGCCTGCGCAGTGGCCTTAGTAGCACTCAGAGCAAGTCAGTTGCTTTGCGCAGCTCTTTGAAGGCATTAGAACTCTGGCCGGACTTGTCCATTAAGCGCTGAGCCAGCCACTGAATAAGTCCTGTTCGCTAGGACTGACGTGGTCCTGCAGGGCTTAGATGGGTGCGCTGCATAGGCTTTTAATCCCAGTGCCGATGGAGGGCACAGATGCTCAGCTTCCAGAGGGGGGAGCTTGTTGTAACCTCGTTCTTCAGCGCCGTCAACAATGCTGAGAGCGGCAGAAGTGGAGGGATTAACACGCACTGAGTAGGGGGCACATCACATCCCGGTGAGTTCCTCGTGAACTGCCAGGAGGAATGGGGCAGGCCGCTGGTGGGAGGATTGTTGACGGCGTCCTTTCAGGAACCACTCATCAAGGAGGCCATGGACAGCTCTTCCGGAGCCGACCAAGCCAGGCCGAGATCCTCCACAGCCTTGGTTAGAGCGTGGATCAGCTCGCGGTCCATGCTGGGGCGTGTTGTTTGCGTCAGAAGAAGGGTGTCGGGGTCTTCGCCAGAACACGCCCACTCTTCTGCATCTGAAGCCGTCAACAACATGGAGTCATCCATGACAGCTTCCTCCTCCTATTCGCTGAAGGAAATCAAGCCACTTGCAGCTGACAAGGGGCACTGATCCTCACGTGTGAAGAACACTGGTGAATCAAGGCATTGAGGGGAGATTGAAGCATGCAGGACCTGAGCCGGCGTGATTTCACTCGAGCCCGGTGTTTGAGCCTGGCTACTCCGTTGTTTCTTCTTCCAATGTAAGGGGGGAAGCGGGAGAGCAGGCCGGGGAGGACCGCCTTCATGGAAGGAAGCGATCCGCGAACGGAGAAGGGCGAGACTTATGTTCTCGCAGTGAGAACATTCCACCTCGGTGATCGCAGCCTCTGCGTGGGCGCTGCCCAGACAGACGACGCACTTACCATGCCCATCTGCATCGTGCAGGGAACCCCTGGGAGCCACACTCGTGGCGTGACATTTGCAAAAACGCCACAGTGGAAATTTGCTCAGAAAATATGCTCTTTTTAAAAGCCGGATGGTCACAGGGGAAGGCATCAAGCTTCTTCTCACGGCGGTGAGCTTATGTCCTCTCTTCTCTTCAGCTTCTTGCTTGCAGAGTCAGCGAGGAGATGATCTTCATCACTAAAGGAGAAAATTTTGACGAAATGTCAATTAGAGCTGACTTATATAGCAGTCAGCTCCACCCCTTTTAGCGAATTGAAACGCCATTGGTTCGTGCAGCTACATGAACGTGATCAAATCAGGCTTCAGTATCAGAGTAAACAGGAGTTTCCCCATAGTGTGATTAACGCAACCGTTCGAAAGGGAACTACATATAGTGACCATCACTGTCATCATTTTGAATCAGTATTGTAATAATTAGTATAGTTATAATAAACTAAAACTAAAAAAATGAAAATGGAAAACATAAAAACTGATTCTAAATATTAATAAAAACTATAATAGTATCTCAGTGATTCTAAATTAACACTGAACTAACCATTTTCAAATGTCTTCTTTATGTTTATGAATTATTCTCTTTGAAAACTGATCTTTTATGCTTGTAAAAGTAACAAGTCAGAGTAACATTTTCACAGTTTTGGGGATAAAATAATCTGTCAGTCTAGCTCCTCTGTCCCTGGAGAAAAATAAATAAACCAGGAATCTCACTAAAACCTCTGAATATGCACCACTGATTAATTTCCCAGTAGGTTTCTCCAGCACCACAGCTATATTTCCAAGCAGAGCTCCTTTCTGGGTTTATAAAGAGGCAGCGTGAGCACAGACTGTGTCCCTGGGATAAGATTTGCTGTTCTCCCGGCCGTGCAGATCACCATTACTTATGCCTGACAAGCTTAGCCTGTGATGTGGCCATGCTGGCCTGTTTGAACAACATTAAGCCACTGCTGTTTGCACTGCAGGCATGGAGATGTTTGAAATAGCTTGTCCCAGGGGTCAGAACGGGACCCCTCTCAAAGCAAAGGAACACAGAAGAGCACTGAACCTTTCCACTCAAACTGACCTATCTACTCTAGCAATGTTAAAGGAGTAGGGTGATAATACATTACATTACATTACATTTAGTCATTTAGAGCAATGATATACAAGTGCTATAACAAGTCTCAGTTAGCTTAACGCAGTACACGTAGCAAGGTATTTTTTAAATAATGTAATAAATGAAAAGAAAACAGATAGAATACAAAAAGATTAGAAAGCAAGTGTTAGTTTTTTTTTTTTTTTTTTTTT